CCTGTCTTTCCTCTTTGCTTGTCTTATAAAACACCTTCTTTCCTGCTTTTCAGTTGAAAGAAAGCATGAACTTGAACTCAGCAGATCTTGGACTTAGTATAAGAGCTTCTTGAGGATTTCTTAAAAGTTTCTGGACACCATCAATAGCCCAATGGGAAGCTTATTTCCCCCTTTTCTCTTTCCTCTCTTACCTATTTATTTTATTTTTTTTGCCAACATCTCTGTTCACAGGCCTCATGGAACCAGAAAAGTCACATACCCACCTTGAGTCCATTCTTGAGGTTTTACATCTATCACCTTGACCTCTGATTGTTGGTCACTGACTATAAAGATATCAGACATTTTCTGAGCATTCTGAAAGACTCACCCCTTGGCTATCTGATAGCTAATTGGGACTAATTTGAACTTGATGGTCTCAAGAAAAATAAATGATTTCTCCCCCACCCAAATCGTCTAGCCTCAATACAAGCTGGGGGACCATGTGCATTGGCTAATAAAAATAGGTCCCTAAACTATACCACCATCTTCCACCTCTAACCATTCTGTAAGAAGGAGAAAAAGTAGACAGAAATTCTCTATGTCCAAATCTTTATGAAGCTACATTAGGTCCTGGACTGAGGGACTCCTTTTGGGTCTCTGTGGCTGTAACCTCTAAGTCTGCTAAGTCTACAGACCCACCACCCAGACATTCTGATTGACTCTCACCTCCACCCAGTGCCCTGCCAGCAGCCTAGTCCCTCTCCTCAGAATCCTGCACCCCCTTCACATCCAGCACAAAGATCTACTCCACTCCCTTCAGCACTGCCCTTTGTATCTCCTGAACCAACTGACAGCTCTTTCCTGGCTCCTTTCCCACCTCATCCAAAGTGGAAGCCTCTTCCTCTCAGTCTCTCAGACCACCTAATCCACCCAGTCCATCTCTAATGGAACTGAGGTCAGGAAACAAGAGGACACCCATCCTACTCAAGGGAATCTGTTCCTCCTATGGGAAGTGTCAGATGGAGATGGAAAAATGATTAGGTGCATGCCCCCTTCTTAGTAATGGACATGGCCCCAAATAAGGAAAAGTTTAGGAACTTTTCAGACAACCCTAATAGATTCAGGGATGAGTTCCTTAAATTGAGTTTGACCTTTGTCTTTGCTTGGAGGGATATGATTGCAGTAGTAATTGTACTCTTAATGAAAAAGAATGGATTCTTAAAAAGGTTGTTGAAGCAAATGGTGCTGGGAAAACTAGAAATCCATAAGTTTTAGCAGAATTAAATTGAACCTCTATCTCTCACCCTGCACAAAACTCAACTCAAAGTGGATCAAGAACCTAAGCATTAGACCAGAGACCCTGTGCCTACTAAAAGAAAATGTAGGCCCAATCTTCCATTATGTTGGCTTAGGATCCAAATTCCTCAACAAGATTCCTAAAGTGCAAGAAGTAAAAAGAATATAAGTAAATAAAATAAAATAAAAGGTTGTTGAAGTAGCTTACAGATTAAGTAGACAACACCATGGAATATAATGTCCAATAACCTGAGGAATGTGTGGTTCCAAGTGTAGACCCTAAATGGGACTCCCAGGAGCGCATCCAAGAGCTAGAATAGAATATCTTACAACCTTTGTTTCTTTTCTTTCTGGTACTGGCGGTTGAACCCAGGGGTGGTTTACCACCGAGCCACATCCCCAGCCCTTTTTATTATTACTATATTTTAAACTTTGAGACAGGGCCTTCTTAAGTTGCAGAGGCTGGCCTTGAACTTGCAATTCTCTTAGCTTCCTTGTCGCTGACATTACAGGCATGTGCTACATGACTGGCTCTAACCTGTGTTTCTAAGGGAATGAAGTGATGCCTAGTAAACCTGTTATTATGACAAATTTGAGGTTACCCAGGAAAAGGAAAAAATCCTGTGGTGTGCTTAGGACACCCTATGAGAGGCCTCCTAAAAATACACCAATACTGACCTGGAGTTGGTGGGAGGGGAAGCTTGGATGATTATACATTTTATGACAAAAGCTGCCCCAGATATCTGAAGGAAAGTGTAAAACCTTAGGTAGGACCCCAGGCTCTGCTGCTGGCCTTGGTGGGGGATGCCTGTCGAGAGCCACCTGTGGACTAGGTGTGAACTAAAATCAGCATAGTAGCCAGTGAATAGGAAAATCTGGTGTTTGGGAACTTCCCATGGCAATCCCAGAGGGCAAGACTGCCCCAATACATGTGAATTTCTAGTCAGCTTTGCCTGGTCCCACATAGCACCAGAGATGGGATGACTTGCCGCAGCCACACAACCTTTCAGAGATGGGTGTGACCTGCCAAGATGCCAATCAACCTGTTGACAGCAAGACGTTAGGAAGCAAGACCTCAGGAAGCAAGACCTCACCCCTGAAACCTTATCCCTGCCTTTGATATACCCCTTAAAAAAACAATGGGAGACATTTTCTAATTATTCAGCTCCAGCTTCTGTGTGGGTTGGACCTATCAGGTGCTCCAAGCTCCTTAAAACTATTTTTCTGACTCTGCATCTTATTTCTTCACTAAATATTTAATTTTCTCTGGTGGCTTATACCCTCCTGGGAAGGAAGAAGGAACCCCAGGCAAGGCACTGGCAGCCTCATGATAGAGGCCTTCAGGGTATATAACAATAAAGACAGGGCAGAGGAGGCCAAGAAGGGTAGAAAACTAGGAAAAAATATATACTCTTGACTACCCTGATTTGGCTACAAACTGAGGTTAACATACAAAGCTCCCAAGATCTACAGTCAGCCTCCAGTGCAAGCTGTGATGCCAAGGTCAAAATCAGTGAGCATACTGACAAAAGGAAGGGCACTTGAAGAGGATTTGTCCTCATCATCCCTGAGAAGGCCAGCTGGGCAGCAGCCCACGTCCAAGCATGGTCC